TTTTTTTTTTTTTTTTTTTTTGTACAAGTGCGTTAATATAGATAAATAAGGTCTTTTTGTTGTGTATATGTGGTTTATTTTTTTTAAGAAAATTGTTTACAGAGCATAAAAGTAAAATAAAACAATATGTAAACTCCACATATACTAAAAAATATCCAAAAACTGATTTAAAACAAGCATAAACTGTCTTTTTTTTATATCTATGGTTTATATTCAGTATATTTTCGGTATATGTATGGTTTATATTTAGTAAAATTATGGAATATATATACAATACATATACCAGCTATTTTTTTTATGGTTTATTTTATGTATATATATATTAAATATAAAGTCAGGTTTTCATTCTATATACATAAAGCAATTATTTTTTTTACTGGATATCATGCGGGAATTGGGGGATTGAGGGGGTTATGTAAATGCTTTTAAGCTTATATGCATTAAAGAATCCTTATTTAGGTAGATTTGTAATTATTTGATTATCAATGATATAATTATAATATTTTCTATTTCATGCAGGAAACATAAAAATTTTCCTTTCCAATTTGTGCCCTTAGAGAACTTGGATTTTTCTATAGAATGTATGTATTATATAAAACAATTAGTTAACTTAGGGCATCCACTACGGGCCATTAATTTGGCCCGTTTAAACGGCAATTGTCATTCATTCGCGTTGTGTGGCGTTCATTAAGGGGTGGGTCTCCTCTATCCGTTCATTCCAATGAACAGTAATTTTGTCCCTTTTTTTTGTTTTGTTTTCTTTTTCTTTTCTCTTTTGTTTTAAAATCATTATTTACTATACTACACGCACAATATGCTTTTTTTTTTGTTTTAAAATAATTATTTATTCACTTTTTTTTTTCTTTTTGTTTTTATATTTAATTTTTTTTATCTATATCTCATTTTGCTAATAACTAAAGTATAATAATTTTTGTAATTGTACTATTTTTTCTTTGTAATCTTAATTTAAGTTATTGGTTTGTAGTGTTCTTTCAATTTCATGTATTTAAAATTTATTATTATAATTTAAAAATATTAAATTTAATTTTTATTGAGAATAAAATATAAAAATTTATATTGAATGAGTAGATAATGAGTCCCATATATGTACTTAAATGAATTTGTATGAATGTGTGTGTGTGTCTAAATGGAGGAGATTTAATGAAAATATGATGTGGATGAGAGAGAGTGTTACTTCTTGATGGAATGAATGATATTTGTGTTAAAGGGATGTGTATGTATAGATTATAGATATTCTTTAAAATTTAATAATTATTTTATTTGTAATCAGTTGTTGATATAAAATACATTAAATAAATCATTTATTCCCAATGTACTTTCATATTTATATTGCATATATAAATTTTAAAAATAATAACAACGATGTTCACAAGAATAATAATATATTTTCTATCACTTTTAACTAAAACTTTTTAACTTATCTATCGAGTTTATTCACTAATAAAAGATAAAAAGTTATTACAACATTAATTTAAATAAAAATAATTATCTATTAATTTTAGAAGTTTGCAAATTTAAATAATTTATTGTTAATATTTTAGAGGTGACTCGAGTTGAGCTCTTAAAACTCCAACTCTATATTGAGTTTAGCCGAAGTTGAACAAAACGAGTTGAACTCAAATTTTGATGTCGAATGATGCACTCTGGCATGCGCAATGTCGATAGAGCACGTGGGTTGACGCGCGTGTGAGGGTCTGGACGTACGCTGCTCGAGTTCTGCCCAAGCAAGTGGCTACACGGAGATTGGACGAGACTCACGATTCCAAAACGAGACGTACACTTTGTAAAATCGGGACGGTCGCCTTCTCTTTTGACTAAATAGACTCCAAACGTCTTGTCAAAAATCCGAACCTGCACACTTCCAAAGACAAGAAAACACACGAAAACAGGCAAAACAACATTAAACACGGAAATAAAGACAAACACACGACAAACTACTGGATGGACCGAAAAACTTAGGAAAAGACATAAAATGGGGGCAAAATACCAACATACTAGTAATGAGAATAGTAACAAGCAATAATGGTTAAGAAATTTTCTAGCTTTTTGCTTAGAATGTAATTATTGGCATATTGTGCAGTGTGCACTCATCATTTTATGAACTTGATTGAAAGTGCAGATGGCTGGGTTCTTTGTGCTCACCTTGGTGTATTTGTACACAAAGTAGCTGCAAATTCGCCGGACCGTAATGACTGAGTATGCATTTCCGGCCTGATATTTGTAATACGATTAATAAAATCCTTACATGAACATGAAGAAGATAATGAAGAAAACTGAACACTGAAACTTTGAATCTGAAAAAAACTTCTATTATTGATCGTATTTTTCTTACATAATTGATCTCTATTCATACATATATATATTACAACAAACTACAATATCAGGAAAATAACTGGACACTATCTAACTTCCCTTTGCCTTATAACTGCCTAACAACCGTATTGCATGATCATGCTAAAACTGCTCCCTCACACATGAATTTCTTGCTTTGCCTTGATCACTTTGTTCATCAGGTTTAAGGTTTCTAACATGCCCCCTCAATTCTATGGAAGTCTTAGGAATGATTCCCAATCTATTCTTAAGCTTCACATAGAATTGTCCACTTAAAGGTTTAGTCATAATGTCTGCAATCTGATCCAGAGCAGGCACATGTCTTACTGCAATTCTTCCACTCATTACCTTCTCTCTGATAAAGTGTAGATCAAGTTCAAAATGTTTGGTTCTGGAATGGTTCACTGGATTAGCTGATAAGGATACAGCTCCTTGATTATCCATCCATATAACTGCCTTTGTTTCACTTTTCATTCTCAATTCATACAAAAGTGATTCCAACCACATTATTTCACATACTCCTAGTGCCAAGCTTCTATATTCAGCTTCAGTTGAAGACCTGGAAACTGTAGGCTGCTTCTTAGACCTCCATGACACTAGATTCTCATCAAGATAGACACAAAGACCAGAAGTTGATCTTCTATCATCAACATCTGAAGCCCAATCAGCATCGGCATATGCTGTGATCTTGAAATTCTTGCATTTTGAAATTTTCAACCCTTGATCAATGGTTCCATTAAGATATCTGATGATCCTTTTCACTGCCTTCCAATGAGTGTCAAGTGGATTTTGCATAAATTGACTCACTTTATTTACAGCAAAACTTATATCAGGCCTTGTAAGAGTAGCATATTGCAAGCTACCTACTATCTGCCTGTATAAAACTGGATTCTCCATCGGTTGTCCAGTGAACTTTGACAAAGTTGGGGTGGAAACCATTGGTGAACTGATAGATTTTGCCCCCTTCATCCCAGCTTTGTCAACTAGATCAGAAATATATTGTTGCTGATTGAGAAACAATCCTTCTGAAGTGTGAATTGCTTGAATCCCAAGGAAATAATTTAAGGAACCAAGATCCTTTAATGAAAACTGTGAATGAAGAGTTTTGATAAACTCATTGAGTTGAGAATCATCTGAACCTGTAAGGATAATATCATCCACATAAGCCATAAGTAAAATGCAAGAATGTTGATCATGCTTTATATAAAGAGAAGAATCTGATTTCGAAATGACAAATCCCATAGTTAGCAGCATGTCTGAAAATTTGCTAGACCAGGCCCTAGAAGCTTGCTTTAATCCATATAATGATTTTTTGAGTTTGCAAACAAGAGGCCTTTCATTCCCAATCTGAAATCCCATAGGCTGCTCCATATAAATGTCTGCATCAATATCACCATTCAAAAATGCATTATCAACATCCAATTGCTTGATAGACCATCCTTTTGTTATGGCCAGTGAGAGAACCACTCTAATTGTGGTTGGTTTAACTACAGAACTAAATGTCTCTGTGTAATCCAATCCAGGACATTGGTTGTATCTTTTGGCAACCAATCTAGCTTTGCATTTTGCCACTGTTCCACCTGAGTTCCTCTTAACCTTGAATACCCATTTGTTTCCAACGACCTCTCTGTCCTTGGGTATAGGTGTAAGATCCCATGTTTGATTCCTCATCAAAGCTTTATATTCTGTTTCCATTGCTTCCTTCCATTCTGGTGTGTGCAAGGCTTCCTCCACTGAAGATGGTTCAGTGATCTCCTTTGACATAGTATAGGAGAATATTTTTGGCTTTCTAATTCCAGCCTTAGACCGAGTAGTCATGTGATGAGTTCCTGCACCATGATTCATTGAACTAGCATGTGGTGATGAGACAGGTGAATTATCATGCTCTAAAGGTAAATCAATCATAATCTGCCCAACTGGAATAGGATTTGATGTTTTTGAACTTGAGGTGCTGTTTGTGGGTTCATGATGAGGAGTTAATGAGGATGATGAGGATCTGTGACTTGTTTGTGAAGAATGTGGCTGCATAGGAAAATGAGAAACAGATGGAGTTGGTGGATCATAATCTTTGATATGATTTGGATAAGTTAAAATTCCAAGTGGCTGGATTAAAGTTGTGTTTTCTGGTGGTTCTTGAAGCTGGTGTTGATGTGGTTTAGAAAAGGGAAAACTTGTTTCTTCAAATAAAACATCCCTGGTGGTAATGATTTTTTTATTTGGTAGTAAAATTCTGTAGCCTTTATGTGAAGGACTATAACCTATAAAGGTTGAAGGTAAGCTTCTAGGTTCAAGTTTGTGCTTAGTATATGGCCTTAAGTAAGGGTAACATAAGGGCTAAATTTCATTTTTAGTCCACTATGTTGGCCATTTTCCGAAAAAGGTCCATCATATAGGGTGTCATCAATAATGGTCCATTAAATTGTCACTTTTAATCAAAACTCGTACACTTGCCAACATAGTGTACTAAAAGTGATTATCACTTTTAGTACACTATGTTGGCAATTGTACGAGTTTTGATTAAAAGTGACAATTTATTGGACCATTATTGATGACACCCTATATGATGGACCTTTTTCGGAAAATGGCCAACATAATGGACCATTTTTGAAATTTTGCCGTAACATAAGCAACCAAAATTTTTGAGAAAGGAGTAATCAGGTTTGTTTCCAGTGAGATATTCAAGAGGAGTTCTGTAACTTAGAACCTTTTTGGGTGTTCTATTAATGAGAAAAACTGCAGAGGTAAAAGCTTCATCCCAATATATCAAGGGTAAGGATGCTTGAGATATTAAGGCCAATCCTATTTCAACTATGTTTCTGTGTTTTCTTTCAGCCAAACCATTTTGCTGTGGGGTATATGGACAAGAAACTTTATGTTTTATCCCATTTTGATTAAAGAAATCATGCAAAGCCACATATTCACCTCCTCCATCAGTTTGTATGGATTTTATTGTAGAGCTAAATTGATTTTCAACCAAGTTCTTGAAATGAACAAATGCTGTTTTTGTTTCTGATTTAGCTCTAAGTAAATAAATCCATGTAAACCTAGAAGCATGATCTATGAAACTTACATAATATCTAAAACCACGGTGAGATTTAATTGGAGAGGGTCCCCACAAATCACTATGAATAAGATCAAGGGGCTTATATGAATCAGGTTCTGAAAGAGAAAAAGGAAGTCTGTGCATTTTTGATTTCATACAATCTCCACACAATTTCACTTGTTCTTTCTCAGAAAAAGGAATATTACAATGTTTTAAGGCCCTTTTCACAACATCAAAAGAAAGGTGCCCCATTCTAGAATGCCATAAACTTAGGTCTGCTTTATTGGTGATCTGGGCATGATTAACACTTGATTGGAAAATAGAAGAAAGGTTTTGATCTTGAGATCTGAAAGAAGCATCCTTGAATTGATTGAGTTGAAAAGTATAGAGGCCATTCCTAAGTGTCCCTTGGAGCAATATTGCCTGTGTTTCCTGATCTTTCACAAAACATGTAAAGGGATGAAATTCAAAATAGACTTTGTTGTCTTTAGCAAACTGAGAGACACTTAGTAAATTTTTAGTGATTTGTGGGACATGGAACAATTGGTTTAACATGAATACTTGGTTATGATTATGGGCAGATGTTACAAAAGATTTACCTAAATGAGAAATTTTCATACCTGTACCATTAACCATCTGCATAGTTTCTAAACCTCGGTATTCTGATCCCACATTGAGATTGTTCAGATCATAAGTTAGATGGTTTGTTGCCCCTGAATCTGGATACCACCATGTGTCTGGTGCCCTTTCATTATTCTGAGTGCCAACATGAGAACCAATACTAGCAACATGAACTGAGGGATTTGAATTTTGCCCTTGATAATTATAGCTCTTGTTTGGATTTTGAACTGAGCTGTTAGAAGTGCCACCATGAACTGTATAGTTACTATCAAACCTGTAGTAACACTTATCAGCAGTGTGATTATTATAACCACAAATTTGACACCTTTGTTTGTTGAAACCAAACCGGCCACCTCTTCCTCTAAAAGTTCCTCCTCCTCTCTGTGCTGAGCTTCTTCCTCTATTTCCTTGGAAGTGAAATGACCCTCGACCTCTTCCTTTTTTCATTCCAGGGCCAAATTGAGTAGCAATATTAACACTGAAATTTCCACTTTGCTCATCATTGTTGTTTTCCAAGACTTCCAACCTATTTTCAAAACTTAACAACATAGCATATACCTCCATAATTTTCAGACTTTCAACTCTAGTTGTCAGTGATACAATGATAGCATTGTATTCTGATCCCAAACCATTCAATAAGTACACGATTTGATCATTCTCAGAAATTTTCTCACCAACAGATCCAAGCATATCACAAATGGATTTCATTTTGTTGAAGTATTCTTTGATCTGAGAATTACCTTTCTTCAGTGATTGCAACTGAAGCTTTAGTTGCATGATTTTGGCTTTGTTATGACTAGCAAAACTGGATTTAAGGCAGTCCCAAACAGCTTTAGCTGTGGTTAATCCAACAGTAGACACCAAAATACTCTCACTTAAAGAAGATAGAATCCAAGACATGATTAATTGGTCCTGCTTCATCCACTTCAAATATTGTGGATTGATTTCTAGAACAGAAGTTGTGGCTAATGGTAAAAACCTTTCAGGAGTTGTGATCTCTCCATTGATGTATCCCTCAAGTCCATATCCTCGTATGGCTGCCAAGACTTGTTGTTCCCAAAGCAAGAAATTGCTATCTGTCAGCTTGATGCTAATAAGCTGTCCTTGAAGTTGGATCGTTTGATCTCCATTTTGTGCAGTGATTTGAGTGTGTTCACCCATAATTCAAAATAAAAGAAAAGAGTTGAAGGATTTTATGGCTCTGATACCATAATAAAATCCTTACATGAACATGAAGAAGATAATGAAGAAAACTGAACACTGAAACTTTGAATCTGAAAAAAACTTCTTTTATTGATCGTATTTTTCTTACATAATTGATCTCTATTCATACATATATATATTACAACAAACTACAATATCAGGAAAATAACTGGACACTATCTAACTTCCCATTGCCTTATAACTGCCTAACAACCGTATTGCATAATCATGCTAAAACTGCTCCCTCACACATGAATTTCCTGCTTTGCCCTTGATCACTTTGTTCATCAGGTTTAAGGTTTCTAACAATGATTAGCCGACATATTTACCGGGAACTTATAATATAACATAGAGCAGCTAGGCCCAAAATTTAGAGAAGCATTTTCTCCAAGTAAGTTGGGGAAAGAAAGAAAGAAACGAAACGAAACTTTAGTTCATCTTTAGAATGTTTGTCTTGTTGTTTGGTTAATAGGACATGAAGCACAATGGATGAATTTTTGGACTGACTAGTTGAACATTTGTATCTTCATTTTATAGTGTATTGTGTACTGACGTCATTTTTCACATTGTAGTTTGTGAGGTTTGGTGAATACATCAATCAAAATTAGTGTAACAGGTAACACTAACATAGAGCAGTTGTTTCAAAATTAAAGACAAATATAGGCAAAATAGCTCGTGATATCACAACCGTTTACAAATATGTAATTTAACCACGATTCAAAAATCGATCGACTGTGTTTATGCTAATTTAACCACGATTCAAAAATCGATCAACTGTGTTTATGCATCCGAGAACAATTTATTGCGTGACATAGCATTTGGTAATGCAATTTATGCTTTACATAATAATATGCTTTTATTATCCAGTGAAAATGAAATACATATGAAAAAATTACTATAACATGTAAATATTTTCACTGACGAAAAAGGGGAAATGGCCGAACATCCAAATATGTTGTTGTGGCCAAGTAACTACAAACCAAAGCAACATATACTTTGAACCAAACATATTGAAAGCTAAGAACCACGCAAGTCCCGGTCAATATCATTACCACAACGAAATTCGCCATACATTTCATTGTCGAGAGGTTCCCTTCCGTACCCTCGTTAGGAAAATGACCCGTTTTGTAAAATTCGGACAGCATTTGATCTTTGAGTTCGAATGTGCTTGTTAGCCACGAAGATACTTCATCCTCGGATTTTGGGAGTTCGTTAGGGCAAACTCGACGGACGTGAATATGAACTTCGGAAGGGTCAACTCCAAAGGCATTGTCTAAGAATGAGGGGCAATTGTGTCGGTAGCCGATTGTGATGTCATAGACTGCACAACAAAATATTTTCGCTGTTAAAAGGACTGAAATTGCAGCAAAATTTAAAATTGCATGACTTAAAATTGTTATATGTCAATTGCTACCTTAATAAAAATATATAATATGATCGAAATTGCAATTTAGCCCATGATTTTATATATTAAATATTAGTACAACGTCCGTGTAATACACGAGTGTTTGCTAATTTTTTTCTTAAAATCTAAAATATTATAAAGATAAATATAATTTATTTATTTTATATATACAGTATGGATGTCAAATCGAAGATCATGAAAAGACGATTAATTTGATATATTATATATGTAAAACCAATAAGAAATACAAAAGTTATCAACTTTTAAAATACATTTATAATTCAATAGTTAATTGAAGGAAGCAAATCAAAAGTCAGGGATATTATAGTCACTTAGTGTCTCACTATATAAAATTACAAAGAATTAAAGGGTTATATTAGTACAAGTGATATTAAAATACCTAAGTTAGCTAAATAATATTTATGGAATGTTCGAACCTAGAATATTAATTATTAATATATCAATATTATTTGTCCAAACCTAATTACGAAGCATGATTCTTCGCCAAGTAGGATTTCGAAGCACCAGAAGCAGCCACTTAGGCTCAGTGCATTCGGGAATTATATAATAATAAAGATAAATATAATTTATTTATTTTATATATACAATATGGATGTCAAATCGAAGATTGAAAAGATGATTAATTTGATATATTATATATGTAAAATCGATAAGAAATACAAAAGTTATCAACTTTTAAAATACATTTATAATTCAATAGTTAATTGAATGAAGCAAATCAAAAGTCAGGGATATTATAGTCACTTAGTGTCTCACTATGTAAAATTACAAAGAATTTAAGAGTTATATTAGTACAAGTGAAATACCTAAGTTAGCTAAATAATATTTATGGAATGTCCGAACCTAGATTATCAATTATTAATATATCAATGTCCAAACCTAATTACGAAGCATGATTCTTCACCATGTAGGATTCCGAAGCACCAGAAGCAGTCACGTAAGCTCAGCGCATTCGAGAATTATATATAGGGGATAACATAGTCTAAAATACGAGCTCATTTTTTTCTATGTGATGTCGCCTTGAATATGTAGTCTAGAAACAGAGTACCAATTGCATGTATGATGACCAAAAAGAGAAGTATATGCCAGGCATGATTTTAGGCTAAATTGTAGATTTGGTCATATCAGAATATGAAAGTAGCAATATAGGTCCCCCATGAGTGACATATAGCATTTTAAGTCCTGTAATTTAAAATTTTGCTGCAATTTCATTCCTTTGGCCATCAAAATTCCCAATTTATATATTTGGGATAGATTTTTGATTAACAATTTTGATTAACAATATATTGGGAATTTAACTACTGAAATTCCAGCAAAATTTAAATTACAAGACTTAAATTGCTTCATGCCACTCCAGTAGAACCTAAATTGCGACCTTCATAATCTATCTATTAATCAAACTTTATATGTTAAATAAAACATAGGCCAAAATACGAGCTCAATTTTTCTAGACGATATCGCCTTGAATATAGTCTCGAAACAGAGCACCAATTGCATGTAAGAGCAAAGAGAAGTAGTAAGTAATAAGAGATGAATTTAGCAAATGTGCAAGGGAACCGAAAAGAACCTGCATCGAGTGAGTCCCTCAGAGTTTCTAGGCAAGCATAAAATCCCCTTGTCTTCGGGAGCAACACATTTTTCAGAACAGGCAGCCCGTTTTCGGATGCATGCTTTTGACTACGCGCACACTTCTGTTCCCTAAATTGCAATAAAATTTTAGAAAGCGGGTAAGGAAGTTCAATCGGCATGAATATTTGTTAATGCGTAACGAAGAACTTCAGGTTAAAAAACAGCACATTTGCCGTCTAGGAAACAAAAAACATAAACACAAACAAATCAAATATATTTTAGTACTACTTCCAAAATCTTCCCTTAAAATGTAGTTTAGTCTCATGATCACCCGTATATTTAGGCTATGTTTGGTAACCCTAGTTGATAAGTGAATTTTGACTTATGGATGAAAAAATAAGATAAAAGTGTTTGATAAAAATTAGCTGATAAGCTTGTTGAAATCAAAATTTCAATGGGCTTATTTGAAAAGCTAGCCAATGAAGCTTATATATAAGCTCGACCTTTTTTTTTTCCTATCAAACCAAGCTTATTTGAATACAAAAAAATTATAAGCTAATCAAATAGTCTATAAGCTAGCTTATATCTTGAAAAAAAGAACATAATATTACGTGAAATCGGTGCCTTCTGGGAAAAGAGCAAGCCACATAGGATCACGGGAGTCCCTAAAACTCGACAGAATCCGGCACATTTTGAATTCATCAACCACCCATTTCCTCTCGACCGGAATAAACTCCATCACGTGAAAAACCCATCCGAAAACGGGCAGTCTCATCAAGCTGCTCTTCAAAACATACTTGAGATAACCCTCACAGCCTTTTCTCAAAGCAAGGTCCCACAAGTACATCCAGTCGACCTCCGTCCTGTGGTTCGCGATAAGCAACACGCGCCTCTCCACGGGCAAGCGGTCCCCCGAAAAACACACTTTGGTCCCGTTTATTTTCTCGAACAAGAAAGGCCACAAAGCAATCCAGCTCCCGAAGAACAATGCAGTTGCTTTTCTGCTGTGATGTACGCTGACGAGCCTCAACGGGACAGCTGTCCAGAAGCCGAAGTACACCAAAAGCACGAATGCGGTTGAGATTAAGATGATTAGGCAAATGATGCCTTTTATTAATCTCGATGGGGTTAGCGAACGGTGTTTTTTTGGGCTTTGCTTTGGTTCGAGGAAAGACTCCATTTTTATGAGTTCTGATGAAAATGTGAAGCAGAGGGTTTCGATTAGGGAACAATACAATACAATGCACTTTTGCTGAGATGAAGTTCTTTGACATAAACAATGCTCAAATCATATGTAATGGAATTGATCCACTTATTGAGAACTATGAATCAAGAATCAAACTAACAAGAACAAGAAAAAAAGGGAGAAATTCACACAGGGTTTTTATCTGACCATCACACACACACACACACACACACACACACAGTAGGTAAAAATTTTAACCTAAATTGATCAATGGCTGAACTAAAATCAAATCAAATATAATAATAAAAAAAAAAATGAAGAAGTCGAAAAACAAGCAACAAATCAAGAACCCAGTTTCTGTTACTAAATGTTCAACTAAACTGTTCTAAAATTCTGTCTCTTTCTGGACAAAAATCATAATCCAAATCAAGAACCCACATGAATACATCGAAGTCCAGAGAAATTAAATTGTGGGCTTGAAAAAAGATATCAGCTTTCAGCTGGCAAAGCACAAATTCAAAGGAAAATGCATACAATCTACAAGAAAAAAAAAGAGCTAAAG